TCTCTCTCTCTCTCTCTCTCTCTCTCTCTCTCTCTCTCTCTCTCTCTCTCTCTCTCTCTCTCTCTCTCTCTCTCTCTCTCTCTCTCTCTCTCTCTCTCTCTCTCTCTCTCTCTCTCTCTCCCTCTCTCTCTCTCTCTCTCTCTCTCTCTCTCTCTCTCTCTCTCTCTCTCTCTCTCTCTCTCTCTCTCTCTCTCTCTCTGTGTCTGTGTCTGGGTGTGGTGTGTGCTTAGAAGATTGTAAAACTAGACCAAAATTGACATTAAAGAAGGCACTTCATTGTTTCTTGGATTTCAACTTGCCCCCTGCTGGAGAAATCGAGAATAAATGCTATTAACTCTAGTTACTGATCCAGAAACCGTACCAGTTCACCAGTACTTTAATGTCTCAGCACAAAGGTGCTTAAGAGACGTAACTCGGAAAACATGGCTAGGAGCAGCCAAAATTGGGAAGGATTAGGAGGTGGATTTGAAAAGATAGATTGGCCCCACAAAAACTAGTAGCTTTTGATTGTTGAATTGTTGACAAGTCTCTTAGAAGCATGCAACAGGTCCAATCCTTGTATATATACAGGCTTTTATATGTTTTTTACTAGCTACCTTATTGTTAAACATTTCAAAACTAGTTCCATCTTAGCACAGGGAGAAAGAATAGTCATGTGCAACCCAAAGCCATCATCTGCAACGTCCTTTGTATCTCATTTATTAAACTCCAAGAAAATCTCAAATCGTGACCAAGCCAATCAAGAACTTCATAGATGGCCTACTACTTCTGAGGTAATCGCATCACATAAAAAAGAGTTTCCAAAATTTTCTTATAGTATCTTCAAGATTTACTCATTTACTTCTTCTTGCATTTAGGCATTGGAAGAAATCAAAGCAATAGGAAGGATATCAGGACCAACAGCTATTACCGGGCTGATACTATATTCGAGGGCAATGATTTCCATACTATTTCTTGGATACCTTGGAGAGCTTGAACTTGCAGGGGGTTCTCTTTCTATTGGTGTTGCAAATATCACTGGCTATTCTGTTATCTCGGGTTTGGCTATGGGCATGGAACCAATTTGTGGACAAGCTCGTGGTGCGAATCAAATGAAGCTCCTTGGACTTACCTTACAAAGGACGGTGCTTCTTCTTTTCTCTACCTGCATACCTATCTCTTTCATGTGGCTTAACATGAAAAGAATCTTGTTATGGTGCGGCCAAGACGAGGAAATCTCATGCATGGCTCATACTTTCATTGCCTTTGCCATTCCAGATCTCTTCTTCCTCTCACTGCTTCATCCGTTGAGAATCTACCTCAGGACTCAATGTATCACATTACCATTAACCTATTGCTCAGCTATATCAGTTCTCCTACACGTGCCGTTAAATTTTCTTCTTGTAACGTATTTTAAAATGGGTGTAGCCGGGGTGGCCTTGGCAATGTCTTGGACAAATCTCAATCTCTTCCTTCTGCTCTCTTTGTTCATATACTTCTCTGGTGTAGACAAGGACTCATGGGTGGCTCCAAGCATGGATTGCCTACGCGGATGGTCATCTTTACTAGCCTTAGCCGTGCCAAACTGTATCTCAGTTTGCCTAGAGTGGTGGTGGTATGAATTCATGATTATGCTTTGTGGACTCCTAGCAAACCCCAAAGCTACAATTGCTTCCATGGGAATCCTTATCCAAACAACCTCTCTAGTCTATGTGTTTCCATCAGCCCTCAGCCTTGGTGTCTCCACCAGAGTTGGGAACGAGCTCGGTGCTAGAAGACCAGAGAAAGCACGAATTTCAATGATAGTTTCAATCACTTTTGCAGTGGCATTAGGTTTTGCGGCCATGTGGTTCACCACCCTAATGAGACATAAATGGGGCCGGTTTTTCACAAGAGACGCGGAAATTCTTGATCTCACTGCAGTAGCATTACCCATAGCTGGGCTATGCGAGCTTGGGAACTGCCCGCAAACCACCGGTTGTGGGGTGTTGAGGGGAAGTGCAAGGCCTAGTATTGGTGCAAATATCAACTTAGGTTCATTTTACTTGGTGGGAATGCCAGTGGCCATCCTGATGGGATTTGTGCTGAAAATGGGGTTTAGTGGGCTATGGCTTGGCTTGCTAGCAGCTCAGTCTTCATGTGTATTGCTCATGTTCTATGTTCTGTATACAACTGATTGGATTGTTGAAATGGAGAGAGCAAAAGTGCTCACAACACAATCTTCGACGTCCTCGACTACTGCTTCAGCATTACCAGTGTCTTCTTCTTCGGAAGTTAACAAGAATTTATTAGACGAGATTCTATGCACTAATGATGAGTACTTGAAGAAGTCATCATCAGTTTCATCACTTGAAACTGACCCTCTCATTACGTACACTGCATCAAACTAATTAGGCATGCAGCTTCCACTTCTTTTCATCAAAAAAAAAAAATAATAATAATAATAATATTCTTCATTTGGATTCAAACTTGATTACACATTTTTAATCTTTAATTATTAGTAAATAAATAATATTCTTGCTTCTTTAATTTACCGTGTCTTGATAATAATATATACTTATGAGTTAAATTACATTTTTGCTCATTAAATTTTCAATAAAATCTAGATCCCCCAACTTTAATTTGTCATAATCAGATCATCAAACTTTAATTACTTTTAAAGTTAAATCTCTGTTTTATGAAACTTAATATTACAATCCTTCATTAGCTCTTATTTCTAGATGATATGCGGCAGAATTATTTCATGGTTGCAAAATTATTAAGTCCTTGTTTGATTTAGTTAAACATCATATTTCTAGTAGATTGTGATAAAAGTTGACGAAATGTATATTTGAAAAATTAATAAAAGTTGTGGATCTCATAAAATATGTGGTTGAATTGAATTTGAGAAAAAAAATGAATTCTAAAAAATGAGAGGACTAATTTAAGGATGAACAAAGCATTGAGCATGCTCCTTGATGAATTACCGTTGGTTTTTTTAAATATAATTCATTTTCAAATCTTATAGTAACAACATGATTAAATCATATTTTTAGCAGATATTGATAAAAGTTGATGAAATGTGTGGTTGTTGTGGGTCCTATGAAATGTGTGATTAAAACTAACTGTTAGGTTTTACTTATATTTTAATTAAATTTTTTAGCAATACAAAACAGGGATTGTGTCATATCTTTTGAAAATATGTCACTTTAAACGATATCAACTTTTGATGTTCCCGTAGGATTACGACTGTGAGTATAGTAAAGTAACATTAAAAGTAAATTAAAGTTAAGCCCTTGTTCGTCCTCGATTATTGTAAATTTTAATGGTTGGATTAGTTTTTTTTTTCTTCTTTTCAAATGTGTGGTTTAAAAACAAGAAAAAGTTTTGAAATTACGTGTAATATTATTTTATTGAATAACGTATACTTAATAAGGAGAAAGAAAAATGAATTATAATTTTAATGAGGCCAAACATGGGCTAAATGATATTATCAAGACAAATAAAGCTAACCTAATTGAGATTTCAGTCACCATAAATGAAATTAGCCCCAATTATTTAAAATTATAATTTTCTCTCTCATTTTCAATTACACAATTTCTCATAAAATAATATTATATGTAAATCGAAAATTTTTCTTTCTTTTCAACCACACATTCTTAAATAAAATATTATTCCAAAAATTATAAATTAAATAATGGAAGCCAAATAGGGGCTTAACCCTATAATTCTCCATAGAGGAAATTACATAAAACCTGGCATTTAAAAGTTCAAATTCAAAGTTTAGGGATAAAATTTATCTATGCAAACATCAGGTATTATATATAGTTAATTCAACCAATTCAATTAAAAACCCTAATCAATTCCCCAAATCAATCTCGTCACTTCCGTTCTCATTCATTTCTCTCCATTTCTCTCTCCACTTAACCACAACTCCAGCGCCACCAACCACTTTTCAGCCACCTTGGCCACTGGACCCAACCACCAATAGACTCACCTCACTGTCCTCTACAACCTTCACCCAACCACCTGCCACCAACTTGCCGAAATTTGCAGAAAATCGCGCCCAAAGTTCCGAACTGTCGCATTCTATTTCAGCCGGATTCTCCTGTTCCGGCGACACCCATGGTCGCGAACCACTGCCGGCCAATAGCCCACATCCAAACGATCCCAAACATTGTCACAATTCATCCTATAAGCCACCCCAATCGATCGGAATTGCATATCTATTGTCCGCCTGCGTTGCCCCCGAAACGCAGAATTTTTCGTCCAATTCCGGTGGCTTCGGCGACACCCATGGTCGCTGACCACTGTCGCCAATAGCCCTTGCCCAGACGATCACAGCCATGCTTTTAATTCATCCTGCAATGCCACCAATCGACCGAAATTTAGCTTCAAAGTTCCGCCTCTCTAAAATCGATCCTTCCTCTCTCGTCTCACTGTAAAAACTGAGGCAAAATTCGACGATGAAGAAGCTGCTTCGATCGACGCTACTGGAACCGAAGGCTGTTGAGAGTTCATTGCAGCGTTAACAATGTCGGTGGAATCGGAGGTTTATGGTGGCGGTGCTAGCAGATGAGAGTTCGTTGTTGGAATCGGAGGCTGATGGCAACATTGGCATGGTGTGCGTGGTTGCGCCGCAGATCTCGATGGTGATGGTGTAAGGCTGCGGTCATGGTTGAGTGTGCGTGGGTGTTGTGGTTACGTCGCAGATCGCGACGGCAATGGCGTGGTTGCGGTTGTGTGTGTGTGCTGGTGTGGGGTGTGTGTGTGTGTGTGTAGGTGGATGTTTGCGACAGTGATGGCGTGGTGTTGGCAGTGTGCGCCGGTGGCATTTCTCCATGGCGCTGCAGCTCTGGTTGGGTGCTGTAGGTGGTTGTTGGTGGTAGTGGCGATAGTGGTGGTTGTTGGAAGTTGGAACAAGATGCTGGTGGTGATGGTGGTGACGGTAGACGATGGTGATGGTGGTGGTGCAGGTGGTGGTGTTGTGATTTTGGGGACGGTCACAAGGCGAGGGTGGTTGCAAGTGGCGGTGGCGGATCTATGGGTGGTAGTGTGTGGTGTCACGACGGGGTAAATTGTGACCATAAAATTTGTGACTATTCCACTGTGACCTTAATATTCGATAATATGTGACTAAAAAAATAATTTGTGACTAACAAATTTGTAAATATGTGACCGATGGATAAATTGTGACTTATAATTTTTTTTTTATCCGTGACCAACGAAACAATCTGTAACCTGCAGAATTTTTTATTTGTGACCTCGACATAATATGTGACCAATAAAATCATTTGTGACCTATAATTGTGTATCTGTGACCATTAGTTGTGCAACTATGATCTTATTATATTTAAATAATAAATAAATTTAATTAATTAATCAATACCCGAGTTCTGCATTTTTAAACTTGAGACTTGAGAATTGAATTGTGTCATACTTGACACCTGATTTTTGAATTTTTCCCTTCTCCATATTAGAATTAGTGTGTGCAAGGGTGTCAAATTGGCCCACGGCCCAACTTGAGAAAAAGTCCAAATTGGCACAACTGAGTTAGATCCCATTTTTTGGGTGACGATCAGAGCCTGAGTCAACCAGCGTCGCTTGACTCTGCCCTGTGCGATTGGCCAAAATGGCCTGTGACAAGGCCATGTGCTGCTTGTTTTTTGAAAGCAGCAACAACTATTCTTTAAAAAAAATAAAATCCCACCTAGTTGGCTTGGATAGTGAAGCCCAAGTTAAAAGTTCAAGCCAAGCAGCGGATTTTCGGTCAAGTTTTGGTTTGGCTCAGACCAAAAGAGTCCAAGCCACTTTTTGCTAGGCGTAGAGAGAGAGAGATTGACATTTATTTTTCTAATGTATTTTTCTTTAATCGTTTCTTTAATATATTTAACCCTTGTTTGAATCACATTATTTTCATAAGAACGTATTTTTAAAAAAATGTGGGTCAAACGGAGGCTTAAACATAAAATATTCTATATTCAAACACGAGCACTGGGCTTGATTCAGAGCAGAAATTGAGAAATGATGTGAGAGGTTTGGGGCCCTCAACTTGTAACTGAAGAAACAAAATCCAGCTATTACTGACTCTGTCTACTTCTCAAATGACAAAAATAGGATCAGTGCCTCTGCATAGCAGCTTTCAGATAAATTTCATCATCTTGCAAAAGAATGCACGTACCAACATAATAATTAATACACCTTCAGCGACATTGAAACTTTTATTTATTTTTTGTTTGTTACGAATTAAAATCTTATTTTAATATAAATTAAAGTCAAACAATTAATATTAATCACATCTTTCATAAATTTCACAATTTTTCAATCATATATCTCAAAAACTTTCACCACAATCTACTAAAAAAATCTAATTTTAATTTCCACCAAACACCCTATTAATTTTTAAAAAGTTGCTATATGTATGGAAAATGTGTGCTAGAAATTATACCGACGACACTTGGCGAAAATCTATCGGTTATGGACCAAAATATATATATAACATGCACAGCAACATCAGGTGCAATTCTAACAGCAATTTCTTTGTACAAGAGGAATTGATGTAATTTAAAAGGAAATTATATAATATTGTACATATTCACATTATTTCTCGTGATTTTTTTTCAACTGGGGTCAAGTCAGACATTGAGAGTAATATATAATTGCATCATCAAAATAATTGATATCTTTGTCAATCGGGCGACAACTTAATTTGACTCATATAAGCACTTCTTTGGTAGGAATGTTAAGCCAATTAAAATTAATTTTTTGGTCGTTATTTTGCTAATCTAGTCGTCGTTTTCAATTCTTCTTTCACAAGTAGGACATACTTTATCTCTAACAGTCAAAAAATCAATTAACAAAATTCTTACCAAACAAGCTCAAAATGGTGAATGAAGAAACGTGAGGAGATTTTGAACTCGATAGGTAAGAAGAAGGTGCAAAATTTACCACCACATTTGACTAAACATTTATTTCACGTTGTGGGATTTGGTATATGCAAACTTGACCACAAGGGCTTATGGAAAAATCATGGCATGTGATGTATATCATTTTTCAAATTTAGAAAAAAAATAAAAATAATAAAAAAAATTATTCAATTAAAATGGATTATAAAATTGCTAAAATCTTAGTTTCTACCTTCAAGTTACCATAATTAATTAATGAAGTCATATTTTTTTTTTATCAGAACACTTCGAAAATTAAAAATTAATTCGCGGCAAGAAATTGCTACAATTTGTGGCATAACAAGGAGCAAACTAACATTCTCAATCACTATAATTTAGTATTTGAATGGCTGACTTGCAAATATATATCTCTTTGTTATAATAGAATTACATGAACATCTTTTGTTTGAAAATTTTCCAGCAGCTCAAGGTAAATAACTTTCCCCTGCCACCTTGTTAATAACAGTTATTTACTAGAAATAGAGCAACATAGACTTAGAATACCCTTTGTGTTGGGGCTTCATGTTTAAAAAAAAAAAAAAAAAA